CGTTTCACGAGACTTCAAAATTCCCTTGGACTAAATTATAAAATAGAACGTAATGTCATTGAGTAGGGTTTACTTTTTTAAAGTCAATAAAATTTTGTAGTTCTTAATTCAAATGTTTAGTTTATTTTTTAGTCCAATATATTTTCTCGTTAAACGCACTTTGGTGTTATGTCATAATTGGCGCCAAAGTCATTACCCGCCATCACACTTTTAACCTGTCATCGCATTTCATATTTTTTCTTTTTTTTAACGCTTTAACTGTCATATAGAAACTAATTTTTTTTTTTTATTACGGTCGGCTTAGACTTTAGAAGATTTATTAGTCTTCTACGTTTTATATTATTAATTTAATATAACGTCATATTTTTGTATACAGACTTCAGTGTCTAAGTACTGGGTGAGTTTTTGATTAGTAATTCTCAAATTTTATGTTTGTATTTTAGAAAAATAATTATAGTGAACACGTTTATTTATTGGGTGTACAAAATTTTTTTATATTATTTAATTTAGACACGTGATATAATTATTTATTTATAATTTTATACTGAATGCATTTCTTTGGCTCATACTTTGGGTTGCCATATGTAATTTTATTGCTAATTAAAAAATCACCCAATTTCTTTTGTAAGGAATCTCATTTTTTTTATTAATTTCATTACAATTTTCATTAATTATATATGTATGTAAGACTATTTAAACATTATATAAATATTAATAGTTTTTAATAAATAAAGTCTACAGACTGTATGAAGCCAAATAAAAAAAAAACTTGTTTGTAAACGGAAAATGTCTATGTTTTATATATTAAAAACTATTAATTTTATTCTAAATCATAGACAATTAAGTTTTTTTTTTTACGATGTAACCATTGAAGTCTGTGTATAAAATGTATTGTCTACGATTTTATGTTACATTACGTGAGATTATTCTTTTCTAATTTCAAATAACTATACTCAAATAAAAAAAAAAATACCATAGACAAATGAAATTGTTGACATGCTTAACGAAATTTATTCCAGACAAATTATCTTTTTGAAGACTAGGCAGCATGGTCTCCGACCTTAGCCTGTTCCAAACGGAACAAACGTACTAAAAAAAAAAAAATTAACGAAATTTTCGCTTGTCGATTATTATGTTCACCACGATGGCAACAGGCGATGGACGTTACTAATTACCCCAATTGTGGTACCCAAATCTCTAGTATTTTTTTTTATCTACGTTTAACTTAGGATTTTTGTTTTTTTAACATGTCAATCCCATAAAACCTTATTAAAAGTATGTAATAGTCTTAATATCTACTAATACATCTATATCTTTGACAAATAACAATTTCTAATATTAATTTTTATATTTAGGCTATATATTTTATGTTATATGAGAGATAGGAATTAACTTTACAATCATGTAGTTAAACTATAGACGTAACCTGGTCGAAACGTCAATATAATACAGGCAAATTATTATAGTTAACCTAAATGATTTTATTACTTTGTCTCTTATAAAACATTTCTATTGTTATATTTTTTATTAGGCCTGTATTATACAATAATTGCCATTTTACTTCATAAAAATATATGTATTTTATTTTTATTTACTATTATATATTTTCTTTAATTTTTTTTTCTAATTTATAATTCTGTATTTCTAATTTGGGCTCAAGTCTCCTCTGTACGTAAAATGCTGAATATATAAACCAGTAATGTTTAAAACTTTATTTTAATTAATTTAATTACAATTCTTTATATAATAAGATACAATAGAATCAAATTGTCTAAATGTCACACAGTACTAGTGGAAATAAAGAAAACGCATAATTTTTTTTCATAAAAATGAGCGGGAAATTAGAAAAAAAAATCATGATTGAAAAATTTAAAAATGGAACTGACATACCACATAAGTAGAATAGATTTAAAAAAAGAATATGAAGTGTGATCTATTTTTATTATTAATATTTATTTGTCACAATGTCAAATATGAAGATTGATGCGGATTTTAATATATTTATTTTTTAAATTTTACAAAAATTCTCATCTCCCCTCTTAAGGAGAGGAGATGGCAAACTAACCCCCGGCAGAAGCACAGTCGGCCGGGCTTCAGGGCCCCAGGGAGAGAAACCGGCATACAATGCGGGCAGAATCTAAGAGCACCGCTCTCTGCATCTTTCCCGGGAGTGAGCCGCCTCGGAATCCCAACCGTCCGAGATGTTGTTCCAGACTGGTTGGGATAAGACCGTTCACCGACAGAACGATTGGAATTATTTCGGTGGACGCCACCCCCCACATTTCGGTCACCTCGTGAGCCAGGTCGAGATATTTTCTCTTTTTCTCGGTTTCGGCTTTCACGAGGTTCTCGTCATGCGGTATGGTGACATCCACATTATTTTTTTTTTATTTTTTTATTTTACTTTAATAGGAAAGCATACAATATTTTAAAACATAAATAATAAACACGGCCATGTTTTCACACTTCCATTTATGTATCTCACGTAATGTGACATTGTACGCGTATAAAAATATAAACGATATGTATAAAATGCTGCATTTATATAATATAAATATAAAGCTTGTCGAGTGCGAGTGTTGCAGTGTCAAATATTACCCGTAACTCTGTATTTAATTAATTAATATTATATTATTATTATTATTATTGAATACAATTATTAATGTACGATAGTTATGAATAAAACTGATTTTTAAGCCTTTATTGTTTTGTTTTTTATTATATTCTCGTTACCTTTTTTTTAATGGACGATAATGGTATGGTAACCCCACCCGCGCTATCGGTATACACCGGCGGTGTACCAGTGAAGGATGATAGGTGAGGATGAAGGTCTGTTAACCCATAATGACGAATTCAACAATTGTTCATGATGGTTTCCAGGGAGAACTACATGGAGGTCGACCTAATAAGGCATTATGGCTAGCAATGGTGCTGTCAAACTCCTTTTCTAACAATCCCTTTCCCCCCGGACTTAGGTGTTATGTCTCAGTACCCTGTAATTTCACTACCATATCTAACCGAACTGTCATACGAACGTAGCTGCTTCACGGCAGAAACAAACGGGATGGATGTACTAAACAGATGCAGCTAGTTTCCCCCCTGGTGATTGTATTCTAAAAAAAGTGTAAATCGATGACATATGTATTATACATTTACAGTAAAACTAAAAGATTGTGTCCCACAAAAAAATAGACTCCAATTGTGTTAAAACTATTTCAAAAAACTAAACTATTTAAATTCAAATAATCTTTATTTAAATATACTTGTTTATAAGCACTTTTAAATCGTTATTATTGAATCGATTATAATAAAATTTCTACGAGACTGTCACACAACAGTAAGGATATATTTTTGGTTTCAAATTGGTTTATAGATAGATAGATAGATAGATACTCTTTATTGTTCCCTCCATAAGATTACAATAGTAAACTTATTATAAATATAAACAATTACAAGAAATAATTATAATGAGAAAACAAAAAATTATAGCTGACGGAGTTTTTTTTTTGATGGGTGAAAATGGTACGGTAACCCCGCCTGCACTAACGAGATACGCTGGCGGAGCACCAGTGAGGGTGATAGATAAGAATGAAAACAGGCCAGTTAGCACATCATGATGAATTCATCAGGAATTAACCATGATAGTTTCCAGGGAGAACCGCGAGGAGGTCGAAGTGGTTGGGCATATTGCTAGCAATGGGATTCTCAATCTCCAATACTAACAATCCCCCCCCCATCGTAATTAGATAGTTACCTATTAAATATAGTTAATAAATATGAATTCTGTTTAAATATTAGCATTGAAAATAACATATTTAATGGTTGAGTCATTTTGACACAGTTATTTAATCTACGTATTTAATTCATAAGTGCGTAGTCAGTTTTTTTTCATGTAAGGAAGGAGGGAAACATGCATCATCATATCAGGCATTAACTGTCCACTGCTGAACATAAGCCTCCCCCTTGGGTTTTTTTTTTATAATAATGGAGTGGTAATCCCGCCTGCACTAACGGTATACGCTGATGGGGTACCTGTGGGGCGTAATAGGTAAGGATGAAATGGCAGGTCAGTTAGCCCATCGTGATGAATACACTTGGAATTCAGCACGATGGTTTCCAGGGAGGGGAGGTCGACCTGTTAGGCTATAAGTTATCTGTAAGAGATTACCAGAGGGAGACTTTGTACAAAAGTCGATTGCTTGGGTACCTCTGTCCTATTCGTGTTTCAACCGTGAAGCAGTTGTGTTTGCATGGCTGTGTTTCGATTTGAAGGGTGGGATATGGCGTGAATTTAAAGGGTACAGATGAATAACACCTGAGTCCACAGGAATGGCAACGCATGGGGGGTATCACGGGCGAAACAGTATACTCTGTTATGTCCATGGTACTGCTCATGTGTATAGGCGACGGTTACCACTTTCTATCAGGTGGACCGTCAGCTTGTTTGCCATTCTAAGTTGTATAAAAAAAAATGTATAAAATTTATTTGAAAAGAATACGAACTGAGTCTCTTGTCAGTTCTTCTCACCTCGAAATCATTCCGAACTGACGGTAGATTTGACATATCATATGAGTCTGGAATAGACCATGAATAAAAATATTTGGAATTGAACGGTAAATATTGCGTATAAGAACCTGAAACCAACAGCGCACTTGAAAACTGGAAATAGTCCGGTCGATATATCTAATCTTAAAACAGTACTCAGTACGTAAATGGTCTATGACGTCATAATTCTCAAATACGTAAATATCAAAATGAAAAGCCCCAAAAAAAACATACAAACAATAGATAACCAGCCGCTATTATTCTTGATTATCCAGACTTGTGCATTGTAATTGACAAATATATAGTTTGCGCGGGAAAAATTTAAACATAACTCTTAAGGTTCCGATAATAGAAACCAAATTGTACTTTTACAACAACAAAACTAACTCTATTGAACGCGTCAATAAATATGTTTGTTCAACTGATCAAACAAAATAAATTGTCTTTTCACCAACTTCTAGAAATGTCACGGTGTTTTTCTATGAGTTCTTTTTGGGATATTCAACAGTTGCTTCAGTGGAGGTAACCTTAGTGGTCGTGTCTAACTGCGTACCAACATGTTGAAGTTTATCATATTTGCTCTCACAGTGGCTCTGTGTGAAGCTGGTAAGTTGTGCAAAATTTCATAGATCTCTCTAATGCTTTTGATAAATTCTCTTATTGCTTATTAATAAAAAAAAACTTTAAAGAATTTGGTGTATATGTAACGTATATGTGTCGAAGGATTTCCTCTAATGTCTAAATTTAAATGTTAAGTCAGTTATTCTTATAACTCATTGTTTATTTCGATGTACTCAGGTGTATCTCAGGGTACGCACCTTGGTCCCTTGCTAAATTGATAACATTTCTATTGTGGGTACCTATACGCCTATTATGTTTAAAATTTATGTACATTTTTATGTATATAAAGTTAAAATAAATTGTCATAAACGACAAACATTGTACTTCCCATTGTCCAATTACATATAGTTGCCAATAGTTTATTTTATGATATTTTAAGAGAGACGCTGCTGCCAAACCCTCGACCGTTAAGTTGCTTTAATTGCTTCTTACGACACCCACAGGAATGGAAGTTTATGTAGTTAAAGATTAGCAATTAGAATTATTTCATTGCTGGGTTATAAAAAACCAAAGTTATATCCATAGGGAGACTTTGTACAAAAGTCATTTGCTTGGGTACCTCTGTCCCATTCGTGTTTCAACCATGAAGCAGTTGTGTTTGCATGGCTGTATTTCGGTTTGAAGGGTGGGATATGGCGTGAATTTACAGGGTACAGAGGAATAACACCTGAGTCTTCAGGAATGGCAACGCATGGAGGTATCATGGGCGAATCAGTATACTCTGTTATGTCCATGGTACTGCTCATGTCTATAAGCGACGGTTACTACTTTCCATCAGGTGGGCCGTCAGCTTGTTTGCCATTTAAAGTCATATAAAAAAAAATTGTTTCGTGGCAGCGAAGCCGTTATTTGTCAAGCAGTGGGTCGTTTAAATCGGCAGTGAATTTGCAAAGTACTATTTCAGGGCCAGCCAACAATGTGGTGAGACCATGCAGACTTGATGACCTGAAATGTATCCGTGACAACATATCCGCTAACTCGAACTGCAACGCCAACGTTCGGGGTTCGATTCCCTCGGAATATGTCATCCCCAGATTCAATTTCGAGACGCCATTTTTCAACGCTTCGTACATAGACAACAACTTGATCATCAGAAACAACGATGCTTGCCGGGTCTCGGAATTTTTGTGAGTATATTCAGAAGTATAATGGAATAAAATAATAATGGAATGGTAACCACGCCTGCGCTAATTTCAATTGGCGGGACACCAGTGAGAGGTGAAAAGTGAGAATAAAAAGGCATGTCAGTTAGCCCATCGTGATGAATAAACCAGGAATTCAGCACGATGGTTTCTAGGAGGGGGGGGGCATGTGGAGGTCAACCTTATGGGGCAATGGGACTGATAGTCCGCATTACTAACAATCCCATTCCCCCCGAATTAGATATTAGATAGATATAACATTCATTACTTGTGAATTCGCCAGGATTCGTGGTATACGCTTCACTTTTTTATGCAATTCAGAATGGCAAACAAGCTAACAACATGAGAAGTATCATCGACATCATACCATTGCCGTGTTGCCATTTCTGAGAAATATGTCGCTTTGTTTCAGTATCCGTTATTTTTTTTATTAACCAGTTAAAAAAAAAAGAGATGGTACTCAATTTATCGGAATCTTTCATTGTTGTTATGTTTGTTTCCCAATTACTCGAAGACGCCTGGACCGATTTGGAAAATTAATTTCTTATCTGAAAAGATATACTTACAGATTGATCCCGTAGACATTGTATCAAAATCGGTTCAGAACTTTAGTTTTTAAATTTTGATGAACTGGATTTTTTTTTAATTTTGCTTTGAATGAAGTCTATTTTTTTCTGTGAAACGCAATTTCAATTTCTCATTGCATTATTTGTTGCGTGCAAACACTGCTTCAGTTTTTACTTGCAATAAGACGCGTACTGACGTAATATTTTTATTAATTCCAGACCGTATCATTTGTACCTGAATATTTATTTTTAATGTAAAATTTTACATTAATTTATTTATTTGCCAGAAATACAGTTACGTAATAAAATGTTACAATTTGTTTTTTACTGTTCAGTATATTACGCCCTTACATTATATAGATAAAACATCCAGGCTCATAAACGGATCAACTTTTTGTTAGCTAATTGACAAATTTATTTATTTTACAAGAGGCAGTCCATGCACAAAAGCTTTCTGCTTGAGTATTTTATCCCAGTCGTATTTTTTATTATAAAGTAGTTGCGATCGATTTGTAGGGTGGGATATGGCAGATATAAAGGTACGGAGGCATAATACCACAGTACTAGGGAGAAAGGTTTAAATAATGGGATTTAACAGCCCCATTGCTAGCCTAATATTCCCTATCAGGTTGACTTCCATGTGATTTCTCCTGGACAATTTTCAGACGAACATATCACGATGGGCTAACTGAACTCTTTTCATTTTTGCCTATCTTTCATTAGTGTCAGCATATATCGTTAGCGTATGCGACGTTACCATTCCATTACCACCCATTATAAAAAATACAGTACTTACCAGAGGGAGACTTTGTACAAAAGTCGTTTGCTTTGGCTATCTCTGTACCATTCGTGTTTCTACCGTGAAGCAGTTATGTTTGCATGGCTGTGTTTCGGTTTGAAGGGTGAGATATGGCAGTGAATTTACAGGGTACAGAGGAATAACACCTGAGTCCTCAGGAATGGCAACGTATGGGGGGTATCATGAATGAAACAGTATACTCTGTTATGTCCATGGTAGTGCTCACGTCTATAGGCGACGGTAACCACTTTACACTTGAAGCGTAAGCTTGTTTGCCATTTTAAGTTGAATAAATAAATTAAACATATATATATATATATATATATATATATATATATATATATATATATATATATATATATATATATATATATATATATATATATATATATATATATATATATATATATATATATATATATATATATATATATATATATTTCACATACAATAATAAGACAAGTACGGAAGGACAAAAATAAGAAAAATAAAAACAATTAATTTATAATTGTTTATAGCAAATTTATTTGCGTACAACCGTAATATGACGTCACGTTATGTCATCTGAACAAATAACAAAGAGGTCGATGTTATTAAGTTTATATTCCACAACAAATGGCGCTGATTACGAATTAAAACAACAATACAGCGCGCGAACAATGCAAATATACACTTGTTTTCAATAGGTGCGACCATTTTTAATTTTCGGTGTTTTTTTTTAAATGACAAACACATTGGCGTCATTGAAATTAAGCAATGATCAAAAGGACATAGTGATATCTGTACCGTTATATTATTATACCATTTTATTGTTTATTTTACGATTTGTTTATTGTTATTTTTTTTGTGATTAAATGAAAAATTAGGCATTAAATTTTTTTGTCTCTTTCAAACTGATGGAAAATTGTATAGTAATTAACGTAACTCATTCCATTAAAGTAGTGCTAGTAATCAATAATAAGGTTTAAAAAAAAGTATTAATTATTCTTAGAAAAAAAAAATTGTAAATTTAGTTTATGATAAACAGCAATTTAGTAAACAATTAAATTAAAATAATAGGTTAGAAGACAGGTTTAGAAAAATACAAAATCATAACCAACGACATCAACTCTTTATATTGAAAATTCTTAATGGTCTCTTTTTTTACACCATAGACAAAGCAACTACAGATTAATTATGACTACATTATAGTGTGTTTCATTATTTTTTCTTTTTTTTTTTGCGGAAAAAATTGTATATACATTTTTTTTTTGTTTCAACAATTCATTTAATTGCAGCTTCAATGTAAAAGCTGACACATCTGTCCTGTCTGTCGACTGCCCCAACTTGGACTTGGAATCCGACCGCACCCTGATCCAGCACGCATCATTACAGGAGGATACCACGTACAACTATCACATCCGAGGAATCTACCGTGAGTGTTCCGCTGTGTAACCAATTTCTGTAGAATTTAATTACAATATAACCAAGTTTTGTTGAAGTTTATCAATCAATCAAGCATTTATTTTAATAAACACGGGTACAGCTATAAATTTCATGTTATACGATGTGTAGAGGGCTATGTTTTATCGTCATTGGGCATAGAAATATTATTATTACATACATTTTGATTTTATACAACTTAGAATGGCAAACAAGCTGACGGCCCACCTGATGGAAAGTGGTAACCGTCGACTATAGACATGAACAGTTCCATGGACATAACAGAGTATACTGTTTCGCCCATGATACCCCCCATGTGTTGCAATTCCTGAGGATTCTTATTACATTTTTTTAACAAACCTATTCTATTTCAGCACTGATCCGTCTAACGACCAATCTCCTCAACGCAGACCGACTAAATCTTTGTAACGCATTCACATATGCCGACGTCACTGCTCTGCCGATATTCAAGATCGATCCTAAAGGTAAGGAACCAATTTTAATAAGTATTTGGACTTTTTTTTTATATAACATAGGGAGCGAACAACCTTGCGGCTCATCTGATGGTAAATAATTTTTGCCGCCCATAAGCACCAGCAACGACAAAGATATTGCAAAAGTGTGCCGGCCTTTTAAGAAGGTATATGATGTATTACTGAAGGTTTCTGTTTGGGAATACTTCTGCTGGGAGATTTTCTTATAACCCCGCTTGCGATAATGGTATACGCTGGTGGTGCACCAGTGAGGGATGAAAGGTGAGAATGAAAAGGTAGGTCAGTTAGCCCATCGTGATGAATACATCTGGAATTCAGTACGATGGTTTCCAGGAGAGACCACGTGAAGTTCGACCTGATGAGGTATATTGCTAGTAATGAGTCTAGTACTCCGCATTACTAATAATTCCTCCCCCCTACCTTCCACTGGGAGTTGGTTCCATACTTTGATTGTGCGTGGAAAAAAATATCTCCAGAAATGTATGATGGAAGATTTATTTATTTACTCCGCCACTCGTCGAGATGGTCGCAATAAAAAAACTTTATTATTCCCATACAGGAAAGATACATTGCAAAAATGATGTCCCTAATGCGGTTTCTGGTCGGCCCACTGACCTCTTTACATCCTTGCTTACCATTCACTGGCACTGTGCCAGCATATACCAATACTACTGCTTTTAGTACTCTATAACCATAATTTAAAAACTTCTCTGGCTACTTAGGAACTGCAGTTGTCGGATTCCTTATATATACCCAATAACAAAAGACAATTAATCAATTTTTATTATTAATCAATTCAATTTAAGCTCAATTCTTTTATTACGTCTTTTTACACAGATAGGAATTAAAAGTACCAACAAGAATAAACAGGAATTTTCTTTATCTGTTATACCTTAGATTATGAATTAGTATGTAAGTAAATTTATATTAAGTCTATGGTTTATCCCAAAGTGAAAGGCAAAGGCCACTGTCCATGCAGCTTATGTCTATCGTAATGGTTGTCTCAAATTTCTTCAGTTATACCTGTTGTAAAGTCGAAGATAAAGTCATTAGAACATATATTTTTTTATTTGCCAGAGCTTTTCTTTGCAATTACCTTAACAGACAGTCTACTTGACACTTATCAAAACGAACAACGATTCCTGCGCTCGCTTTAAAAACTTTTAATAGATCCAAAAACCTTTTCTGCTTTTCAAGATATCTAAATACAGGACATGCTAAATGTAATTTTTGAACATTTTGTAGTGAGTGATGTTCCAAAGTGTATTTGTTTTTTTTTCAGACAGACCAACTGCCAACTTCCTGTCCCGCGACCTGTCCTTGCTCAACATCTACGAGAGAGAGACGTTCGCGTACCGCGCTCCCCAGCTCATACGCCAATTTGTTAACTCACTTATTTGTGATTTTGGCTGCCAATAAGATTACCTTTAAAAGTCCGTTCGGACAAATTTTTTTTATTTGTGTTTTTGTTTTTGTCCTTTTTCTCTCTGCAGGCAAATTTGTGTAGGCTATAAACTAAATATTTAAAAAATGAAAGATATGATTGTTTGTTTGTAACGGATAAATTAAAAAATACTCAACCGGTTTTAAAAATTCTCTCGCATATAAAAAGTTACATTATAAGCAAATAACTTTGGGCTGTATTTTGAAACAAAAAGATATCTATCTATGCGAAGCTAGTGCAGTTCTCTAGCTCTATATACAGACAAGATCAAAATCAGACTGAGAAAATTAATCTATGCAACCATTTATATGCATCAATACTTTAAAAGGAATTTATATTCATAGCGTTAAACAACTACTCATAATTATATCTCCGTTCACAATATGGATAGATATGAAATAAAAAAAAATACTAAAATTATCACGTAAAGACTGGAAATGAAACTAGAATGAAATATTCAATTAATTAATCAATATTTAATTTGTACTACACTATTTAACATTAACAGACTGTCTTGTGTTCGGGTAAATTACTTGTTCGTTGTTTGGTCGTTTATTTACATTTTCATTAAGTTACACAATATTGAAACAAACTATAATTTATTTCATTTGAAAATGTTACTTTTTAAATTATAGAATACAATGAAGTGGTTGCATAGATTTCGTTCACACTTTTTTTTTGTTAGAAATGATGTGGACCTTGTCAGCCATTGTAATGTTATAAAAAAAATAATCAAGCCTTCTTTGCATAAGTTGATCGTGTCTGGATACTTTTTAATGCCCATTTTTCCTTTAATTTTAAACATGAATTATATCACCTTGATTTATTTCACCGATAAAAAAATCATGCAAAGAAGGCTTAAAAAATAACATTGAAATTGTTTTGAAGATGTTTAAATTTTAATAATTAAGATTGTGTTCCACAAAAATAAACCAACTTCAATTATGTTAAAACCAGTTATTTTGGTTTAAAAACAGAAGTACTGAATTAATTTTGAAAAAAATTGTATGAGATCAATCGTACAGACTCTTCTTTTAAATAAAAAAAGAAATCCCAAATCGATTTACAACTGACGGAGTTATGTTACCAAACAAAAAATAAATACTACCACATTGGAACCTCCATCTTTTTGAAATAACTTGAAAATAGAACAGCATTTTTTTTTGTCTGAGAATATCAAATAAAGCTACGGATGAACATTATTATGCCATACCATATTTTGGGTTTTTTTTTTATATTTCACTAATTAGATTCTAATCATATTAGGCATACTGAAATATGCATACGAGTATGTATGTACGTTGAATGTATTTTCAAAGAGTAAAATGTAATTTAAAACACAATTGATACTTTCATATTAATTGTAGCTTTATTTTTGTCTTTTATTATTGGGAATAAAATAACCGCAATATAATATTTAATTTTTTGTAATTTATTTCGTATCATTAAATAATACTTGAACATGTGTATCTGCATTAAATCATTAGAAACTGGAAATAAAAATTATTGTAAAAAGCCTAACACTTTCCTTTATTAATATTTATATGTAGTCTAACCAATATTTTTTAAACTGCTGTTGATTTTCGCCACCCCGCCACAAACTAAAGTTTCATCCCAACCATCTGGACGAGTGGCGGTCCTCCACCGTGCGTTTTTCAAGGCACTGTCTTCCACGCACAACCGCTCTGGAATCAACTTCCAGCAGCAGTATTTCCGAACCGATACGACAACATAACCTTCAAGAAAAGAGTATATTCCTTTTTAAAAGGCCGGCAGCACACCTGCAATGCCTCTAGTGTTGCAGGTGATCATGGGCGGCGGTAGTCACTTACCATCAGGTGAGCCGCATGCTCGTTTGCCCCCTGTGTTGTAAAAAAAACCTATGTAGGTATGTCATGTATGTATTCTTATTTTACGGTAGCACGACATAATATAGTACGATATCGTTAGGGTTGCCAACTGTAACATATATAATATTATTGAATTTTTTTTTATACAACTTAGAATGACAAACAAGCTGATGGCCCACCTGATGGAAAGTGGTAACCGTCGCCTATAGAAATGAGTAGTACCATGGACATAACAGAGAATACTGTTTCACCCATGATACCCCCCATGCGTTGCCATTCCTGAGGACTCGGGTGTAATTCCTCTGTACCCAGTAAATTCACGTCATATCCCACTCTTCAAACTGAAACACAGCTGCTCCACGGTTGAAACACGAATGGGACAGAGGTACCCAAGCAATTGACTTTTGTACAAAGTCTCCCTCTGAATTAATATATCTTATGCTATATTTCAATAGCAGTAGCTTGAATGCTTTAAAAAAAAACAAGGAAAGATACAGCGGCCTATTCTGAAACGTCATTTCTTTAAACAGATCTATAGAATTAAAAATTGATATCGCATCAAAATCTTTATTATAAAGACCGATGTAAAGTAATTTACTAACAGACTTAAGTAAAAATTATTATATATTATTATATTAGTTTTTTGATAGATCATAAAACAGTAATTTCACGAATAAATCAAATTAAAACAGATAAATTTAGAGAAATGGCGCGTCAGAATCAACCCCATTGTCTATGGAGCGTTCTTTTTTTAAATGTTTTTATTAAAATAAATAGAATAAAAAAAAACGTACAATTATCTTTTTCTAATCTTAATAAAAATTTTATATTTTTACAATTTATTTAAATATACTATGGTGTACTTAGTATTTCATAGAGCTGTCCAATTTGCATATCCAAATTACATAAAAAAACAAAAACAAAAAACAGCAGAATGTTGGCAAGAACAGTGTCGTACTCGGCAATTTAGTGGCGTCTCCATACAACTATCATACATTTCGATGTCTTATTTTAAAGTAACGATAAATTGTTCACGCTATGGTAAATTATAAAATAACCCAGGTAGTTGGTACTCACTTACATATTGTTCATTAAAAAAAAAAAGAAAAACCAGAGGATTTTTGGAAATAAAACATTTTTTTTTTTTAATTTTTTAACATTTCTTTATTATTTATAAAAAAAATCATCACAATCTGGAACACTATGCTTTAAGGACAATCGAAAGGCGAAGCTAACTTTTATGTAATCCCTTTTTTTTATATTTGACACAATTATTTACAAAATCCTGGCATACCTTTTAAATAACAGAACATAAAATGCAAGTAGCTAAACTAAAACAGATTTTTTATTACCCAATCAATGATCTATCTATCTATCCTATTTAAGAGCTGTCCTCTCGTCGGTGGAGCTCTTGCCACTCACTACGATTTGCAGCGAGTCTCTCCACCTCTTGATACGACACGACACCAACTCCTTCCTTGATCCGCCTGATGTAACTATGTCTCGGTCTCCCTCTCCCCCTCCTTCCTTCTATTATAGAAGGTAAGCTTCTATTATAATGTTCATAAGTTCGTCGTGTCGTATCAAGTGTACCAACATTTTTCCCCTTCTGTCCTCAATAGTATACCAATGATATACCATTGAATTTTTTTTTTCTAAATTACTAAACTCTATACAAAGGTATGCTAAGATCATTTAATAATTATGCCAAATATATATAAAAAAAAGGATTATAAAATAACGTATTTATTTATCAACACTGTAACATTTTTATTAACTCTTTTTACTAGAACGATTGGAAAAATATTTTAACTATTTTACAATATGGCGTTGGATGGCCGATTACATAGTACAATTTTATTGCCAGAAATAAAAAAAAAATACTATATATATATATTTTTTTTTATTTGTGGCAATATCCATTATTAAATTGTATGTAGCATTGACACACTGACTAACGCTGGACTAATTAAAAAGTAACTAATTAATTCGTATTTTTTTTTTTTATTTTAATAGAAGACGATAATGAATAAAACACGATTTTTTATTTTTAAAATACACAATCGGTCAATGTATGTCCGTGGTACTGCTCATATCTATAGGCGACGGTTGCCACTTTCCATCAGGTGAGCCGTCGGTTTATTTGCCATCCTAAGTTGCATAAAAGAAAATACTAGTCCAGCATAATTCAGTGTGAAGTTAGACACTATTTTTATATTATAAAAGGCATGCCGCAGTCTGCGCTAACATAACGCCTAGACATCAAACAACATAATATTGTCCGAAAATAGGGCTCAGTTCACATATGTACGTTGAAAACATATCGCAAAGTCGAACTATCCAGCAGGATACTGGACTTCTATACTCTGTTATAACTGTAAATAGATGGGGGGGGGGGGGGGGGAGAGGAGTGGTTAATAAAGAGATTTTTTTATTTTAGATAATGGATCGGTAACCACGCCTGCACTAACGGTATACACAGGCGGATTACCAGTAAGGGATAATAGGTAAGAATGAAAAGGTAAATTAGTTATAATAGTTTCCAGGTGGAACCGCGTGGAGGGCGATCCGCGGCGAGGGTATATTGACAGCAATGGGGGGTTGACCACCATATTTCTAACAATTCCTTTTTAAAAATGAGGATTAATGACTCCAATACTAATAATATACTCTTTTAAGTCGACCTCCACACGGTCCCTCTCGAAACCATCGTAGTTAATTTCTGGTGAATTCGTCACGATGTACCAACTGACCTGCTTCATCCTCACCTATCACCCCTCACTGGTGCCCCGCCAGCGTATACCTATAGGGCAGGCGGAGTGGTTACCATTCCATTTACATGACATTAAAAAAAAAACTATAGAGGTACCTATGTCTATAGTTTATAAATCCTGTTATAAAGGTGTAAGCACAAATATTTTATAATAGGTAACATACAAGTGTGAACTAAGCCTTTCAAATTTATGGAATTAAAAAAAAATACAGAAAAAAAAAATCGAGCAAGAATACAATAATTTAATGCAGAGATACAATTTTTTTTATATATATTTTAGTATAATGTAGTTTTGATTAAAATAAACAAGGTATCCCTATAGAGTTTTAGCTACAGTAACCGCTTACCATCAGGTGGGCCGTTTGCATAGCAAGTCAACAATTACCTCAT